CTTCCTAAAAATCCTCTCATTTTTTTGAACGATTCTTTAATCTTTAGGAATCCATTATTGGCAATGGACTATCAAGAGATAAACATCTTATTACAACGTTGAGTGAAGACCAAGATGGTGTAGCCTATGTTTGGTTTTAGTTTATTTTCGCCCTATAGAATTGGTTTGATCTATTTTCGTAACATGGTTGTGTTTACAATGAGACTTCGAAGTATATACCCCCTACTGCGTTCTCTATCATTGTTATTATTCGTTCTTCCAAAATCTGACCGTTAACTAGCCATTGAATATGCATGTGGGTGAAACGTCTGCGAAGTTACTCAGTTGACTGTCTTATGCTAGAAGTAAGTATAGTACCCAATGTAGAAGACGTAGTATTGAGTATGTTATAAGCTTTCATGTAAATACGTATATGTTGCTATAATGGGGCCAAATAAAGTATGTAAATAGATACTGAGATGTATTCATCCTGTCTCGTTTAGGGTGACGATGGAACTGGTAGTTGATTTTCCCATGATAATATAAGTAGACATTACATTTCCATTGAATTTCAAAGCCTTGCTTTCCTTGAAGGTATTGGCATCTAGAGTGGACTGGTCTAGGTCTTATCAACGCCTCCTGTGGGACTAGAATCATGATGCTACTACGTATAGTCTCGACACGTAACCATTACGCAACATTGCAACCAGTGTTCTTGGGTCACAGGACGGATGGGAATTTCAAGGAAGGCCATTCTAGCGATATCGACTATAATTTTTTACTCGCTCATTTTAGCATTATGCAAATCGGCACGAAAATGAAAATTGAGGTGATTCGTCGGAAACTATTTGCTCTTCTCATATATTAATTTTGCCTAATAAAATACCTGTTGGATTATTGTAAATTTTTTTTCCCTTTTCAACTAAATCCAGATTTAAATCATTAACTGATCTAGGATTCAGGCTTCCTTGGATTCTTGAGTCTAGCAAGGACAGCATTTTTTAAATTATAATTCTATAATTTATATTTTTCTGTTCTTTATATTCATTTTATGGTAGATTTATCCTTTTTTCTCTTATAGTATGACATCAGTTTTATTGCCTTTCTTTTTCTTCTTCGTAGACGCAGATGATCGTCTCGACTTTTTGATTCTTGTTGATGTCGCTCTCATCAATGTTAAGTCTCCTATATGCTTGCCCTTACTTGTGCGGGCTCGTTTTCTACCAAACCATGCCCACGCCATCACTCCTACCTCCACATCTTCTTCTGACTTGAGTTCCTTTGATACATCTTCTGCTGTAAATACCAGTCTATTAGAAGGCTCTGGAAAACCAGAAACGCAAGATCGCTCTACTTCGTTTTCCCAAGAGTTTTCTCTTCGCCTCAAAATGGTAGGTTTTTACTACTTATTTTTCACTAATTTGTTTGATATTATTTCCGATCAGGATTATAAATGTCTAATACTCTAGACTCTTCTTAAGCACAACAATCCTTTTTTTACACCTAGTTGTAGTACTTTTTAAACAATTAATATATTAGACTAGTTAAACCAACTCGATTAATTTTGCTTTTGGGCTTTTAGTTCCTTTTAAGCCAGCCTTGAACAGGATTTATAATCGGGATTTTCACATTTGATCGCTTCTGTGGTTTGAATCAGGACTTATATTACATTTCTTATCGAATTTATACTGGCCTAGGGCAATGAGCTCATTGGCTCAGTGGGCATACCTTAATCACCTTATTTAATTCATTTTTATGCATAATCCTGTATGTTCTTTAATAGTTGACTAGCTAATGCTACTTGTCTATTATAGCTAGTTTTATAGTCGCTTCAATAAGAGTTCTCTTCGTTTCATATAATCGATATCACACGAATAAGTTATCTTAGCTAATCCACAATCGATGAATAATTGTTCGTAGATGCCTAGACAGAGGGCGAAAAGCTTATCATATGCGTTATTTAAG